CTAAAGAGAAATCCTCAGAAACTCTTCACACACGTCTCCCACTCCCAAACAGATGTTAGCATTATCTCTGACCTCTAGAGATTGACCTTGGGCAAGTCAATCTCTCAGTTGCCTCTTCTGCATTATGAAGCAATTCGGCCAAAATGTTTGGTTTTGTTTGTTTGTTTGTTTGTTTGTTTTCAGGACAAGCTGTTTAGAATGGAGAAATGTAGATGTTTGATATGCCTTACAGATCATCTACCACCCTGGTCAAATGGATGAACCTTCTCTACAACATCCCATTAAGTAGTTACTCAACTATGGATTGAATGAAAACAGGGTCAAAGTGCTCAGTGTCTCCCAAGAAAGCTCATTCATTTCAGATTGCTCTTCATCAGGACTGTTTCCATAAATTGATCTAATATTTTAATACATAATTTCCAACTACAGTTTTGTTTTAATTTACACTCAAACGTTCTAGAGAAACTCTCCTACATTCTACAACAGCACCATGCTCACCACCACTTTTATTTCAGCCACCTGGGTTTGTTGTAAGGGGCAATTATGAAAACTGTCAACGCACTTGGCTAATTCTTACTTCCAACTTTAATTGTGCCAATGTCCCATTATACCCAGACCTGAATTTCTTCACCTGTATAATAAAGGACTAAGATTCTGTCAAAATGTCCTCTGTCAACAATGTCAGAATACTTCTGAAATTTCACCCTAGACCTTAACCCTGCAGAACATGAGTTTTGTTGTAAGCTACTTTCTCAACTAAACTGTTGGGAACTTTTGTGATGAGCAAATGATTCATTTTCACTTCTCTTTCTTTCTTGTCTCATAGTTTTGGATAGCATTATTCAAATCAGGGTGCATGAGCTGACATTTTATTCTCAATGACAGGACAAAGAATTCTAATAGCTTTCATTTTAGAGTTCCTTTCTTCTAAATGAAGGTAGAATAATATGATTGTCAGAGTTAAAAGGACCCGTGTAAGATATCTAGCCCAACCCTCTGCGAATAAATACATCAACTACAGAGCATCACGTGTGTTTTCAGGCTCTACCTCTGCCTAAGCATTTCTAGTGAAAGGTGCCTAGTGTTTTGTGGAGTTGGCCTGTTCTCTTGGTGGTGTCGTGGATTACGAGTTGGGCCGCTAACTACAAGGTCTAGGTTAAAACCACCTTCTCCATCTTTCTCCCCTTCAGAAATGGCTGGACGGTAAGTGAGTTGGTCTGATTTGATTTGGTGGATGGACAGCAGCACAGTGCCTGGTCTATAGAAGACACTAGGTGTTTATTGAATGAATTGGTGGGGTTTTCTTGTTTTTACTTTATATTGAGCCCAAATCTCCTTCTCTGGAACCACTCCTCAGTTCTGCTCTTTTTAGTCCTGATAATTAGTAGCCCTGAAACCATTCAAATATAACTGCTACAGCTAACCTCTTCCCTATCCCTCCATCAAAGTTCAGCTTTTCAAAGTCAAAACGCTTGTGGTTTTTTATTTATGTCCTACCACACCCTTCACTACCCAGATCCCTCGATGCTGCCGTTTTAGGTTGGCAGCATCCTCTTTCAAAATGTGAAGCCAAGAGTATAACATAAATATAATACAAAAGGAAATTTTAGGCTAACTCGTGATTTGGGGGCATATGCTGAACCCATTTTGAGGAGACCAAGGAGAAACTGCTTTAACTAACTGTCCTTATTGCATGATTCTTCTAGCACTAGAAAGAGTCTGCTTGCTCTGTGCTTCCATGGCACAACACTTGTACTTACTGAATACATCAAAGGGAGCCAGCCCTCTCTCTTGTGAGGTGGTGCCATGAATGCCAATGAATTGTTTCTTAATGCCATTAAAAGCGAATACTGGGCTGGATGGTGTGTTATCCATTTCTTATGTTCTTATGTTAATGGAAATATTATTTAGAGTCTTCCTCTAAGAAACTATGGAATGAGTTCCATCAGAAATAGAGCAAATGCAGACCAAAAAATTCAATTGGTCTCTTGGTGGGAGGATCGCCTCTCTTGGCTGTTCAAAGAGGTGCTGCCCTTCAGCATCAGACCTGTGTGAGTTTGGGGCTGGCTAAGTAACAATGAAGGTCCTTGTGTCACAGCTTCACCACCAAGTGAACCAAGGCTGAAGCAAGAGTGTGTGCAATTCAAACAAAATACCTTTTTCAGCCTATGGAGGCTCTGCTCAGCACTGAAGGCTAAAAAAAAATTTTTTAAGAGGAACTATCATGTTACATTAAACTGAGAGTAAATTGTATCCATCATCACAAATCCCATGGGTAAAGGGGGAAGGGGACAGGAGACATTTTGAACTACTGAATTGTTTGTCACACCATCTGCTGAGAAAACTGGCACAGCTACTGTGTCAGGTGCCGCAGTTCTTAGCTCCACCCAGCCAGGAACAGCCACAAAGGTGAATGGGGATGGTGGGATGGGCGTCTTGCAGTATGTAATGCTCTTGTCAAAGACTGCCAGTCCCTGGGCTTCTGGATCCCTCCTGCCTCCAATCACCCTTCCTCCTAGCAAGGGTTTCTTACCTACCTGCTTTCTCAGGAACAGCACCCAACCCACTCTTCGTAAACCCAGAAAAAGGTCTACCACTTTGTTGTTAACACCAGAGAAGGAAAAGTACTGTGGGACTTTAGGGTTTATATTTACCATGTAACCTAAACAACAAAACTTTTATGCAAATACAGTATTTCTATCCACTTCTAAGATTCTTCCCAAATCCCTTTTAGTAGCTGCACTTCCTGCAATTGGAAGAATTTAAGATTTGTTCTTTGTATTGGTTATGGCCTTGTCCCTACCATCCCTTCCAGGTTACCAAGAACACACTCACCACGTTAAACAAATATCTTGTCTTACTGTACAGCAGTTGCCATAAACTCTTGGCTTAAAGCTGGTACTATCATTATCAGAACAGAGAGCCAAGGGAGAAATCTGAGAGCAGATGGGCTTTTAATAGCTATACCTAAGCAATCTAACGAAAGCCTTTCCTTTCCTCGTGTATAAAGTAAAATGTTTGCTGCATTTTGCAAAATGTCAATTCTCCAAAAATGTTTCCATATATTTCTGTCCCTGCAGTGCAGTGAAGGTTTAGATGAAACCCCATAACGATCGTGGTGTACTGTTCAGTTAGATCCCAAGCAGTAAAATAAACAGTGCCGCTCAGAAAATAAAATAAAAGAAAGAAACAGAGAGATGCCCTTATAAAATGATAAGGCAAAATACCAACCAATGCATTGTTATCAAGAAGAAGCAAAGGGTAGTGGGGAAAAGAATTGAACAAAGAAAGAATCAGAAGAGATTTTCTATCAAGCGTTGGCTCTTAGTCCTGTTATCTTGGATAATTCCTTCAATCTTGCTGACCGTCTTTTGCTCATTTCTGAAGAAATATAATCCTTACCTCCCAGGTCTTCCTAGAATTGGTGACTGGTTAAAGAGCACTTGGAAACCTAATAGTTTGTTCTTAAAGCAAGGGTTTTGTCTCCTGAATGATGTGAGTTGGGGACACATATCTATGCTTAAGTTGCTGCCCTGAACAAGCCTACTGTGGAAAATTGCCGACATCCACAGAAGCAAAGAATCTTTAGGATTCATCCTCTTATCAGAGAAATAGGAAACAAAAGATGGAATGTAATTCAAGACCACACGCTGTGGTCTCTTAATTATATAAACCACATTGCCCACTCACTGTTTTCTAGTGTTCTTGGGTACACGTGCTTAAATAGAAACACACACACACACACACACACACACACACATTAAATAAATAAATAAAACGAAAGGTCAGGGGCCGGCAGCGCCTGTGACACCTGCACTGGGTTGTGGTAGCCTCATCTAACGAAGTCAGCCACGTTTTCGAATCCAGATAGCAAGAGCCCCCTCTGTATTTCGGAGCCACGATACGACTTTGACGGTGTCTCTGTGTACGTGCGTGGAACTCCAGACCACCGTATCTGCAGGAGGACGGCAGGATCGGCTTACGTAAGGTCATCAGTCCTGGTCATCTCCGCCCGGGCCGGAACCCTCCTGCGCCCGGCGTGGGGAAGGGGCGTGCACGCGGGAGGACCCGATGACACACTGCGGAGCCTCCCCAGTTTGGCCGGGCGAGCCCTTTATTATCTAAAGAGATTGCAAACCCCGGAGAGAAGGACTTCTTGGAGCCAGACGACGAGGAGCAGCCGCGCAGGGCCAAGCAGCCCCATGTCCCCACACAGGTGCACACTCCCAACGGGCTGCGCATTGCCCTCAGCTCTGACCTGGAGACCACTCTCCGGGCTCGAAAATGCAATCGGGCGCATCTCCATCCACAGCCCGGGGAACACTCACTTTTAAAATAGCCCGTGGGACCTGGAAGAGCTGCAGGACCGCCAAGCACTTAGGTCGGGAAGCGGAAGAGCCCAGGCTGGCCGCGCTGTTCGGTGGGCGCCCAGGAGCCGGAGGTCCGCGCCCCGGCGGCTAGCGCGGAGGGGCGCGGGGCAGGGCCGCGAGCCGCGGCGGGAAGCAGAAGGGGTAGTGTGGCGGCGCCCCCGCAGTCTTTGAGCTCCGGCCGGAGGAAGCGAGGGCGTCAGTAGCTATAGGAGCGAGGGTTGTGCCTGCACTGACACTTGTACTGGGGGCTGGGGCTTGGCCTGGCTCCCCGCTCGCCCGCCGGGCGAGGACGGGCTCGGGGGTCGGGTGGAGAGAAGGCCGAATCCCAATAATGGGGCTGGGGACGTGGCTGGGCAGAGGACCGAGGGCCTGTGGGGTCGCGGCGATGGACGAGTCCCCTGCCCACCCCTCCCCGCGCCGATCCGAGAGCGGCTCCGGTCGCGCAGGGGCGCACCCGCTCTGGCGACAGGGCTGGGTGCCAGGGACCCCGAGCGCGTGGACTGCCGGCCGGCTGCTCGCTCGACCGAAGGCCGCTCTTTCCGACCGGCACGGGCTGGAGCCCGAGTGCTGCAGCGAATCGCGCCCCGCTGTGACCCTGTCCCCCTCGGTCCCCTTTCCCAGCCTGGCGACTCAGAGCACGTGCGGCCCTGCGCCGAGCTCCCCTTCGTCCCCAATGTCCACTTCGTCCTCCGGCTCGGTCAGCACGAAGGGCCCGGCGGGCAGGCCGGGCCGAGCCTCGGCGGAGGCGGCTTCTGGGCCGCGGGGGCTGCTCTCCGGGCTCTCCGACCCGTCTGGCGCTTTGGGCTCGTCCTGGCTTTTTCTCAGCTGCTTTTTATGCTTCATTCGTCGGTTCTGGAACCATGTTTTCACCTACTCCCGAGGAAAAATAAATAAGTAAATAAAACGACCTTGGGCGACCAGACCCGTGGAGACTGAGCTAAGATGTGACCGGTGGCTGGGTTTGAATTGAAAGGCTCCCAAGCGGGAACCCACAAGGTAGCATCGCTGGGTGAATACGAATCAAACATTCAGAAGGTCCCAGGAGCAAGGGTCCCGAAAAAGGGAGGCGGAACAAAATTGTGTTCTTAGTATGAGTTGTGCCTCGTCCAACTACGAAATACTTCTGCTAATCATCACGTCGCGCGCTTCCTCCGACCAGCTACAGCTACGAAACACTTGATAGGTCGCACAAACGGAGAGGAAAGCGCCGGCGTATTTGTGATTTCGGAGGACCAAAGGAAAATTCAGACCAGGGCTAAGGGGTTCACCTGGGGCTGTGCGTTCTGAGACTAAGTGGCTGGAATGGAAGTGGGGGGTCTGAGGTTGTTGAGTGGCGTCTGGGAGAAACTCTTCCCTCAGGACAGCGCCATGGGGCGGGACTTTAAACGATGGGTTATTCAGACGTGGGCTGTGTGCAAGACTAAATAAGAACACAGAGAAGGCAAGACAGACTTCAGGATAAGAAGTCGTCCGTCAATTTACTTGTGATCCGGGTTAAAGCCCCAACTGGAGGGCCGTAGTGGAGGCCCCAACATGATGTCCTGGCGCAAGAATGATCCCACCAGTGGTGGCCGTCCAAAGGCCCCGGGGGAGGGGTCTGCTTTCCAGGGCCAGAGCC